TGGCCCTTACAAATATTAACATTATTATTATGAATATAGTGGTATAGAAAAAAAACCAATACTAATTTATTATATACTAATTTATTATTTATTATATATTTTAGATTAAGCTAATGTTATTTATGAGTACGTAAAATTTATATAGTTAATTTTTCAATTCAATTTATAAAACCGTAAACTGTTTAAATTTAAACCAATTAGCAATTTATAAATTGTACATATTTGATGTTTATTTCAGTTATTCTATTGCAATCCTTGTAAAGTCCCGTAAGTGATAATGTAAGAATACTCTTTGACTTTGAGTCGTAGTCATTTTAAGTGTTTTAAAGTACGGCTGTTCTTTTCCGTTGACTCGGTGAAGACAAGCCGGACTAAGACAATTGAATATATCGGTAACCTATTAAATACTTAAATTAAAGAATAAATATATTATTTTGAAGTTGTAAGGTTTAGATAAAAAGTATTTCTTTTTTTTATACTTATGTGAGTCCATAAATTGAGAAGTATCATATTAATAATAATAATTTATACAGATAAATAAAATTGAAGTGTCTGCTTGTAATGTCAAAATAACAGCTTTTTACTAAATGCATATAGATGTATACACGATTCATATACCAAAACAATTTTTTTTACAATTTTTGTCTGTCTGTCTGTTTGTTCCAGCTAATCTCTGAAACGGCTGGACCGATTTTGACGGAACTTTCACTGGCAGATAGCTGATGTAATAAGGAGTAACTTAGGCTACTTTTATTTCAGGTAAAAAAGGGTTCCACGATTTTTTTAAAACCAATGAAATATTTAATAATATCCGATTCAAATAGGGAAGTGGTAAGTATACATACCGGAGGGACGAACCCGCGCGAAGCGAGGGTGAGTCGCTAGTTAATAAATATTCTTTATTGTACACCAAGAACAAAAATAAAACTACAAGAATAAAAAAAAATACAATAAGAAATAGATTAGAAATAGGATTATGTACAAGAGGCGGCCTTATCGCTAAAACAGTGATCTCTTCCAGAATTAAAAAGAGTGATAATATTATTTTAAACGGTTTTCAAAGAAACTTTTCAGAAATCGAATACCATAGACGTGAGGAACTTATGCTGAAATATTTATCATTAAAAGACGGGGAATGAGGAGGCTTTTTAAAATTAAATTTTAGCAGGATCAAAGATTTCTCGAATGAAAAAGCACCAGAAACAATTGATCTTTTAAATAAGGACGAGAAAAATCTATCAAACAGAACACGGTAAGGAAAATTAAGAACATGGGTAATCCTGCTCCGAAAATGCTTATTAAACTCATTTAAATTAAGATTTCAGGGTTTACGCTTTGGCGTTTTTTTCTTACTCTTATATCAGAAATGTCCAAACTTTATATGAGTTTTTTCCTTAACCACAAAAGTATAGATATGGCACTGTTGATGATTTCTACACACTTTGTTGCAGTGATTCTGAGCTGTAGTAGGTATATTTAAGACGTGCTTCCTCATTAGAATTGGCACAATATTTCGCAGCATTCTTTTTTCGTAGCAATTTTTTTATTTTTTTGAGTAAGCTACTGGGTAGAGAGATGCTTTATTCGCAAAGAGCGTATGGGCGCACATTTTTGTCGTACAATTATGTTAACTGTGAGTTTAAAATTGCTACAGGTGTGTTTATTATGTCACTGCTGAAAAAATCAGTTCAGTCAAACTTGTACGCATCCTCTTGCAAACTATCTGAATCCTTTCTTGCGAAATGCAGAAGACTTCTTGATTTGTTTAGGATAAATGAAGGAGATCATAGTAAGAAAATGCTAACGCTGAGCATTGCCAGTGTTTTTCCACATATTCGATTGAGGACACTAGAGAAAGATCAAGAAACGAAGGTAAGTAATTCGGAAAAGCATGTGTAGCATAAAGAGGATACCTATTGAATACCATCTACCGGCTTTAACGTCGAGTGTATCTAGTTTTTTGATCTACAATTAGATAATGGATTAGCGGAATTGATTCTTGCTTTGCACATAGAATGCGAAGTCTAGTCTGTATCTTCGGTCGGATAGAAATAAATGTGTTTTCTGATACTTATATTAATCCAGATTGTTCACTTTCAATGAAAAAGTTCTCTTAAAATTCAAGACAGACACACGAACAAATATGAAATAATTTGTGGTTATACTTTTATTTGTAATGAAACCTTTACCCTTACTCTAAGCATTTATTTTAATCAACACACAACTTTACCACCGTTACAATTTTATTATACTTATATAAATATAGATTAACACATTACAATATTAGAGTTCCAAAAGCATTACTTTGTGATAATTTACGTAATATTTATTGCTTATATCGAAACATTGATCGACATCGAATAAGGGTAACATTATTACTACGACTCCGCTAGGAACAATAAAGGAGTAGAAGGTGGCATTGTCTCTGTGTTTCTGCTTCAACGGTGTGAACTCGACTTTATCTAAAACAGCCGGTATTGTTTGTAGGGGCGACGTGCTAGCTATCGATATCCTATTTATTGGTATTTCTACTGTCTTTGTAGCAAACGTGCGCAAATGTTTATAGAATAATTTAAGTGTATATTATAGAAGCACTTATCTAAAAGCGAAATGTTGAGTATAAATACAATAAGCGTCCAGTATACTTATAGAGATACATAATTTGTTTTCCTTTATTATGATTATAAAGTAATAATTATCACTAAATTATTAATTTCATTGGGAGCAATTCACAATAAATAATATATTATTTATAGTATTATGCAGTCGGAGACATACACGTTTCATCCTTGCCGCGAGATGTACATACTCGTATGTATGTCTCCGACTGCATAATACTATATTTCTTCGTGAACTTGTTTTCATCTTTTTAGTTAGCTTTTATGCAGTCGGGTTTTTTATTTTTATAATATGTTCATTTATTTACAGCTTCTTAAGTATTTTTAAGTAGGAACATAAGCGAGAATGGTTGTTAACCAACTTTAAATCATTACATATCCTAAATTGTTATTTAAAATGAAAAATGATGAGAGAAATCTTAAAATAATTTTTAAATACCTATTCAACGTTATCCAACTTGACATAGTTCGTCGATTTTCATTTTTTTTTCTATTTCGCACTGTGGCGTCCAAAATCGGCCATTTTGTTTTTCCATTTTTATGCTTTCTATCACATTTGCGCCGTCATGACGAATCAAACGACGTATCATTTATCAAAATCGGCCCACGCGTTTGGTCTTAATAGTGCTACAAAGGTACAAACCCACAAACATACATATGCTGATAAACACATTACCCTCTTTTGACTCGCGCAGTCGGGTAAAAATAACATATTTTATAACTTTCAACTATACTTTGAATTAGTAGAGATTCTTTGAAGAAATATTTTAATAGTAGTCTTAAAAAAATGCTTTCTAATATATAAGTTACAACATGTTTTTGACACATGCTTCATTTAATACTTCAGAAGCATAAATCTAGATTACGATTTCTGTTAAAAATATATTGTGCATGTCTGGGCATATAAATATTTATTTTATCTGCGGTATGTTGATATGCGTGATTCGTGATGCAATTTATCACGGAACTTCAAAGAGTCATGCGTATTTTACAATAGCGAGTAAAAAAAGGAAGTGGGATTGCTATACAGCCGTCCGGTACGTTCGACCCTGTTTCACAACACGCGGTTTGTCGGCCTAGTCTCCGAATAGACGTTAATGACTGAAACAAATGATTTCTTTTAATGTTTCCTGCTTTATTGCTTCCTCCTATCTATTTTGAACAGTAGATTTGAAATCGTCGATATCCATTAACATTAGCAAATACAATCAGTTTGCTAATTGTTATTGTTTGGATGTGCATGTAAACGTTTAAGTCCATCTCACATGTTCTATATGCTACTTGGTAATGGTATGCTGTATGCGATAAAGTTTTAAGTATAATAATTTTTTATACACATCAGACCTATTTAAATATGTAGATGTGCATTTCAGTTAAGTATAGATAATTAACCTTTTCATTAACCGAATTTTACTTTAATTCTTGTTAAGTAGCTAAATTTATAGCTGAAAATAAAGTTAATTGCCACTCGTGAAGAGTGATCGTGCAAATGTGACTTGAAGCGTTAAATAATTCATTTAATCTGAGAAAGGGTTATTCTATACCCGTATATACATATAAAGAAAATCACTAAACATTTAATGAAATAGTATTAAGGAGATATTGTGGAGACTTCTTCTAGAATATGGAATATTCAAATAATATAATATGACATGGTCTAACTATCCTTTCCTATATTTCACAAACTAAATAATAAAACAAAACTTTATTTTAAATGTTTTATTATCAACACTACTATTATTATATTAAACAGATCGTCATTTTAAAACAATAATACTAATTATTAGCTTTACATTATTTCATTATGTGCTAGAGTATGATATTTTTGTTTACGCTTATTTCTAGGTTTTAGTCTTAGTATTAAAAATTCCAATAAATATTCGTTTGTCTCATTAAGCTACAATGTATTTATTATTAGCTTACATACTTTTCGTTTCTAAATTGGCAATATTTGTATGTACATTATTTATATTTCTTAACAAAATTTGTAAAATAATTATTAGTAGATTTAAATATTGAATTATAATAACAGTGAAAAGTGTAACGTTTTCAAAATTTAAAAAAAATTGAGTAAACAAGAATAAAAATATTTTAATATAAATATAAAACAAATTTTCACTCTGTTTAGAATTTGACAAAGTTATAACACGAGCGTTTCAAAATTTATTTATTAATAAAAAATAACAAAATTCTAATGGCGACAACATTTTTCTTTATCACACATTTCGTTATTGATTGTAGCTTTTATTTCTACTTACTTCAGACTCACAAAAATATTTCGATGAAGGACGATAAAAGTATAGCAAAATTTTATCCTTAATATATTTTAACTTGTATGTACTGTTAATGTTATGACTTGAAATAAAATTGCTATTCTACTTATTCACGGGACTTAAATTGCGATGTTGTTTTATTAGAAATGGTATTTACATCTATATCAGTAGATTGAACTTCGACGTTTGTAGCAGTAAAATTATCATATGAGATGTATTGTGGAGGCTGTTGCACTACATCTTTTGGCATTATGGGGCGTTTCTTTGTCTTCATGTATCCTAAAACCGAGACTAATACGATGAAAACTACAAGTCCTATACAACATCCTACAACTAAACTTAGCCTTCTCGTCACAATCTCGGCGATTCCCATATACGTATTGGAAAATGGACTGTCTAACGCTGCACTGAATATTTCGATGGTGCTGACACTTGTACATTTACTTGTGTGAGAATCGTTCATAAAAGGCCGAAGGTTATTAAAGACTTGTTCATCTCCGTATAAATTAGCTCCTGAATTTCCTAGAGACGAAGAAGCTATTCTCGCATTAGGCATCGAAGATCCTTGAGTGCTTTCAAAATCCCCAATCGCAATTACGCAAATTACGTATCGCGCTCCTGGCGTCAAATGATTTAATCTTGTAGTTCTGGTGGTCGAGTTCAAAATTTTGCCTCGTATCTGCGACAAATAGGAAAAGAAATTGGTAAAAATATTAATCACTTACTAATACATTTACGCTAAGCTTTAGAAAACTTTGTGGGATGTGTAAACCATTGTTAATAAAAGATTTAAACTGATTCACAGAACAAACAAAATAACCCCGAGCGGGGAACATAAATATTTTTTATGGTCCATTGAAGTGATACACAGCCGTTGTATTCAAATTTTTTGGTGTAATGTTTGGTCTACCTAGTGGTAACAAATTAAACAACTTTCAAATGTTCATTAAAATTACTAATAACAATTTTCTTGTAAGTCCCAGGTCTTTTTTAGGAATAAAATGTCTGCAAAGATTACGTATATTTTAATTTTTAATTACTGTAGTCTGCAGGAATACTCGTACTTTTATTCTATGTACAATGAATAGATGTTTTATTTTAGTAATAATTCGTATCTTTCCATAAAAAGCAATAAATTTTCATTTAAATACCATTTTTTATTGTAGCAAAAAAATTGTTTATTACAAATGTTACTTAGCAAACGAGAGTGCAAAATGTTATTTTATTTTTTATAATAAACTATAAACATTGATAAAAAAAATATCATAATGTTCCATTTTAACTCATAAAAAACATAAAAACTTATACAGTTATATCAAAAAACATATTTTATACAAATATATTAAAACGATATGTTTAGTAATAATATTATGTATAAAATAATCACTTTAATCAAAGTAATAAATTTAATAATTAAGGCGACAGTTTAATGTTTTTAATCATTTACAAGAATACTTACGATCGCTGGCATCTGATCCCTGAAGTAAGCAACATGGTATCCACTTAAGCCACTATGATTGCGACTCTGCCAAGAAACTAAAACCGAATAAGTCTGTATGTCCTGTATGGCTATACGTATTACAAGTGGCACATCACATAGCTTCTGTGATTTGAGCTCCAAAAACTTATAACCATGAAGTTCTTCTGGATACTCACAACGCAATTTAGAGTTTCCTTGCAATATAATTTTATAATGATCTTTCATCCACATCCAAAGGTCTTGAGTTTCGCAATTACATGTCAATGGATTTTCTGAAAAACAAAATATCAAAATGATAACTTACTCTAATTATTATTATCACACTAATATTATAAATGCAAAAGTATGTGAGTTAGTAGATGTTGTTAACTACATGCTCAACTAGACCAATCGGAATCCGTTTATTTTTAAGAGAAAAAAAATATTGCAAACCTGAAGTTTAATAATTTCAAAATATTAGCAGGTATATAAGGAATAGAAGTTCGTAAAATGCCCACGATAAACAGCTACCCCCGAGAAATGAGGGGACGCAAAGCGTTGAAAAATAGTTTTTTTTTTCAATTTCCGGCTGTGACGTAAAAGAAAGAAAGAAATAGAAAATAAAAAACCATCAAAAAAATTAAAAACCGAGTTTTTTGCAAATATCTCGAAAACTTTATGATGAGGTTATTGTAAAAAGTGGTATTTATAAAAGCTGTAGATTTTTGGTAATCCTACAACTTTTGTGGAAAGCATTTTTCGATATTGTCACAGTAAGCCGGAAATTGAATAAAACTATTTTTCAACGCTTTGCGCCCCCCCATTTCTAGGAGGTAGCTGGGCATCGGGGGTATTTTACGAATTTCTATTCGTTATATACCTGCTAACATTTTAAAATCATAAAACTTCAGGTTTCAATATTTTGTTCTCAAACCGGATTCCGATTGTACTAAACGGATTTGAACGAAATTCAGTGTAGAGATAGCTTATGTCCTGGACTAACACACACTATTAGGGTGAACAATGAATTTATTTATTATCAACGTAACTACGGTAACAACCATAGGTAGGTAAATATATTTTACGCTAAGTTCACCCTTGTTATTTTAATTTTAAAAACCATTCAGCCATGTTAAAATATTTTTAATTAAAATGAATACAAAAACATAAAACATAAATTGAAATAGTCTACTCGATTTAACTTACCATTAAAAGCAATCGTTTTTACTTGCATTTCGAGAGATACAAGCATTTTCAATTGTATCTTTTCAAAATAGTTTCTAGACAAATCTATATGGGTGATTTTCTTTAATTTAGAAAATACATCAGATACTATTGTAGACAACCAATTGTCGCTTAGGTAGAGCTCATTGAGGCTTGGAAGATTCCGAAAGACATCTTTCGTTATTCTTGTGATATGATTAAAAGACAGATCCAATGTTTGTAAATTTTGTAAGTCTGAAGTAAATTCTTCTAGTTCCCTGATTGTGTTCCGGGAAACGTTTATAACTCTTGCTGAGTATAATCCTTGTAGTCTCTCCCGCGGAATATTTTCTAGCTTATTTATACTTAAATCTAAAGTTTCCAGATTATTTAGTTTTAAAAACGCACTGGGTGAAAGCCGAGTTATCGAATTATGATTTAAAATTAATTTTTTTAACGAATGAAAATTTTCAAAATCTTTACTAGTTATAATAGATAAATTGGTGTTAGTAACAATAAGTTCTTCTAATAGTGGAAATTGCTTAATAGGATATGTTTGTAGCAGTTGTTCTATGGAATTCGAAGACATGTTTAAAGATGTAACTGCTGGAAAAATAGATTCTGATAGACCGTTACTAGGAATATACTTAAAATAATTATATGATAAATCTATATTTTTTAAACCGTTAGAGTGTTGAAGAAAATTCGGTGGAAGAACTGTTATCATATTATGACTTAAATTAATAGAAACCAAATTCTTAAGTGAAGGTGACTTGAAGCCATTGAGAACCGAAATTCGATTTTCACATAAATTTAATATTTTTAAATTATGTAAACCGACTAATTTAAAGAAATCTATACTTTGTAGTTCATTATGACACAAATCTAAACTTTCTAAAGAAGTAATATTGAATAAAGCTACATGTGGAAATTCAGTAAAATGATTACCTTTCAGATTTAAGTCTTGCAAAATAGTAGTATAAGCAAACACGTCTTTGTGCAAATCTTTTAAATTATTGTATGCCAAATTGACTCTCAATAAGTTTTGATTTTTTAAAAATGTCGCTGGAGGTAAGTACGATATGTTCGACATTTCTAATGTAAGCGATTGAAGGGAAAGAAGATGTGAAAAGGTTTTATTTTCTAAATCTGTAAAATTATTTTTAGAAAGTACAAGAGACTTCAATCCAGGTATTTGAATTTGAATAATGTCGTGCCAAGTCAACATATTCATTTTCAACTCTAATTCATTCAAGTTTGGCAAGGCTTGAAATGAATCCTTTTCAATAGTAGAAATTAAATTTTGATTAATTCGAAATTGTTTGATTGGAAGAGTAGAAATGTTAAAATTAAATGTAGTAATTTCATTTTCAGACAAATCAAGAAATTTTAATTTATACAAATATTTAAATGCATTTCTCGAAACAGTTCTTATTTGATTATTTTTTAATAACAGTTCTTCCAGTGTTACAAGATTATAAAATGTTTCATTATTTATTTCACTAATTTTGTTGTTGCTTAGGTCTAAATATTTAATTTTTTTTAGGTGCATAAATGTCCTGTCCTCAATATGTGCTATGGTGTTATTGTTTAGATATAACTTTTGTATATTTAATAAATCAATAAATAAGTTTGAAGTTAAAAATTTTAAGTTATTTTGTGCTAGCCACATAATTTGTACGTTCACTTGACTACGAAGTGAACTATTTTTTAATAGTGATAGGTGATTTGCACTTAGCTGTATTGAAACTAATGACGAATTCCTATTAGGAAAAACGTCACCAATTGTAGTCAAATTATTACCCTGCAAATTAATGTGTTGTAGGTTGCGTAAAGTTATAAAAGCATGAGAATCTATATTTTTTATTACATTGTTTTGTAAATGTAATTCTAATAGCTCAGGCAATGGACTAAATACATTTCGTTTAATATGATTTAATTTATTATTCTGCAACCTAATCTCTCTTAATAATATTAACTTATCAAATATTGAGTCATCTAACTGTTCTATTTCATTATTATCTAAGCTTATTATTTCAAGTTTACGGTTGAATTGAAATATATTTCTAGGAAGTTTTTGCAAAAAATTTGTTCCCATGTGAAGTTGTGTCAAATTATGTTGAGAGTCAAAACAGTTAGGACGTAGTAATTGAATAGCATTATGTTCTAAATTAAGAACTTTTAGTCCCACTGTATTATTAAATGCATCGTTTGGTATTTCAAGAATATTATTTTCTGATAAAAATACTTCAGAAAGATGTTTTAAATTCGCAAAAACACCATTTATGTAATGAAGATGATTGTGACTTAAATCTATAGAACGTACATTTATGTTTCTTTGAAACGTATTTTTTTCTATATTTACAATTTTATTTCTACTTAAATCTAGTATTTCTAAATTTTCTAAGGAATTAAAAGCCTCCTCCGCAATGTGTTGGATTTCATTACTAAAAAAAATTAACATTCTTAAATTAGGCATGTTTTTTAACCAATTTTCTTCTATTTTAGTAAATAGATTTGAACTTAAGTCTAAATTTAATAAATTGGGTATTGTGATATTAACATTATCTGGAATAGAATTAATTTTATTCCAAGCCAGTCTTACGTTTGTGAGTTTATTTAAGTTCCCTAATGACTTTAGTGGAAAAATTTCCAAATAATTTTCCGTCATATCCAATTCGGTCAATGTTTTATCTAATTCCTGGAATGCTTGCGCGGAAATATTTGCTATCTTGTTTCCTCTTAAATTAACTTTTTTCAATTTCAGATCCTTAAAAGTGTGTGCTTCGATGTCTTTGATGTCATTGAGTTGAAAGTCAAGCGCTTCTATATTAAAGAGTTCGAAAAACGATTCATGTGGAATTTTGTTCAATTTACTGGCAATTATGCTCAAAGAACCGAGAGAATCGCGAATCGATATAAATGCATTGGAGCTTATTTTATTTATTCCAGATTGTGTTATTTGTAAATGTTTAATTTTAATATGCGGCGGGAAAAAATCCGCATTTAGTTCTGTTGTAGTTCTTTCTAAATCATATATTGACAAAGAGTGAATGGTTCCTTGTATTTTGGTCAAAACATTTTTTACAACACTAGGGGTGGCACTTGGACACTCCAAAAATAAATCTGAAACAAAAGCATTTTTTTATTAAATGCTAAAAATTATTTCATTACATTATCATTTATATTATAACTTACCTTCTTTAAAGGTATAACAAGGGCAGATAGGGTTTTCTGCTAAACTCGGACACTTCGGCTGTTCTTCGCCTTGCAGTATCGGAATATGGACAATTATAAAAAAGGCGTATACACCACATTTCGCAATGAGTGATCGAATAAATATGCCCATGTTCATTAAACATCATTTCAACAACATTTTTCACATAAATTAGTAAATTTTTTGTAGGTTGGTATCTAAAACAAAATATAAACAAATATCAACATCTATCTCTACGTATTATCAAACACGAACTTAACATTTCTACGTATTATCTTGAAAATGCCTCTCTGGTAAATAAAAGATCAAGGAATAACAATTTTGCAATGTTAAAAATGTCAATAAAAATAGTTTTTATCTTGAGTAAGAATGAAATATATGGTTTTTGACCTTTTCTTGAAAGACAAGTAGCTACTTAGAGTAGTAATGTTTCAATGTATATATTATATCCAAATATATAAATAAGTATTTAATAAAGTGATAGTGATTTAGTGAAGTGACATAGTTGATATTTTTTACTATTTTATTAATAAATTACACTAATTTATTAATGAAATGGTAAAAAATATGTCATATACTATATACTTATATGTATGTATGTATTGTCATATACTTAGTACGATTTGTAGTTATACAGTATAATACATGGTGTACATAAAGTTGGCCAATTAAAAGTCTACTTTAAAGTGGTTTATTATTATTATATATAATTTGTTATAGGGTAAAAATGCTTTATTGATGTATTTAATAAGTGACATATTATTAATTTTATAATTAACCGTTAAACTGTTTTAAATGCCCATTTAGAAAGTAATTAAATGAATTGAACTTGACTTATATAAAGATCTTACAGATTCATGATTATTAGTTATATAGAATATTAATGATATTTAATTAATCAGAAAGCTATGTTTTACTTAAGAATGAACTTTACAAAGGACAGTTTCTCAAACCCCTATAATTACACAAAGCAATAAGGGCGTTCCTTACTAAAGCATTCTACGTAGGAGCTTTATTAATTGTTATTTCTAAGGATATGCACAAATTATTTCTCCGCTTAGTTATATTTGGTTTGCCTTTTTTTTAAGTCATAAAAGCTTCAAAAATATTTATCTTTTTACTAGGTCTAACAATAATTACTAAATGAACTACATGTATATGATAACGTTTACTTATCTCTATGTTTAAATCAGGTTAAAGATGTTGTTATTTCCAAAAAAGAACAATTTTCACTTACATCAGGAAATTTAAGTGGTACAAGGTTCTAGTCTACAACTACTAAATCTAAATTGATTTTTAATATTTCGAAAATTAGATAGATAGGTAGATAAATACTTTATTGCACACACAAAAGAAGAGTACAGAAGATGAAAAGAAAAAAAAATAACAAAGAGGCATGCAAAGGCGGTCTTATTGCTACGAGCAATCTCTTACAGACTACCTTTGGTGAAAGGATTAGAAGAATCGTTGACGGGACAATGAAAATTATTAATTGTCCTGGCTTAAAATAAAATATACATACCGTAATCTAATACATTACAATCTCGTGACACGGTGTTTATAGCCACACTCCTTCAAAGCCGCTCAACCGATTTTAATTTTTTTTTATATTTAGCAGGTATGAGAATAGGTCGTAAAGTATTTTTCACCTTCTTAACCCCACCCTCTTATTTTTTTTAACGTTAGGAAATGCATTTACGCACGAGGTGTGGGGCTCACCGGCAAAGCCAAAAAATTTTTTTTTTATATATTTGGACTCTCTATCACCTCCCCTATCCAAAAATACCACCCACTCCACCAGGGACCGCGTTCCATATACTAAACTTGTGCCCTTTAGAACCTTCCCCCGTCTTAATGGGGCGTCGCAGGATCGCTTACGCATTCAACTACGACGCCCCGACGGCAGGTCTGCCGAAGCAGACCACAACAACCATGGGGTTGCTCCAAGGTCCACTTTGCTATCAGAGAAGTACCAGGAGCACTAGTGGGCTGCAGCTTAGTATATGGAACGCAGCCCCTGGAGAAGTGGGTGGTATTTTTGAATAGGGGAGGCAATAGGGAGTCCAAATATATAAATATTGTTTTGAGGAAACGAAAGAGTCAAAAGTTATTAAGAGTTCAAGTTACAACATTTCCATATATTATGATGACATTACTGCCATTTTGACACTTAGAAATGTCAAAAAGTCATTTCCAAGTGCCAAAATGATCTTCAAATAATGAGTCAGATCTATCACCGAATTTTAAATTAATATAAAGCACTAATGATAGCAGGAGTTCTGGTTTTGAAATAAAAAAAAGACATAACGAGACCTTCTCAATCTTTGTTATCCAATTCGGACTACCTCTTAATCAAAAATAATTAATACACTTAGATTAAAAAACTAGTCTTCTTACGTTTATAAACTGCATGAATACACTTAAAACACTAAGAACATTTAAAACTATAATAATACTATTAAACCAAAAGACTAGAAACGAACGTATAAAAAATTTAATAAAAACTAATAACTACTGGAATATGAGAATAATAACTATGAAAAAGAGCAAAAAATATGAAAACTAAACACATTTAATGAATACAGATCGTATTCACATACACCATCAAATTTCGTGGTATTTTGTGACTACCCGCATAAAATATTGAAAAGTATTCACAAATAATAAAATCAAGTAATGGTTTAAATTTTTTTGCTAAATGTAAATTAATTATAAATAACTCAATATTTTACATAAATCAAATAAAAATTCGTGAATGTATGTATAAATAGAAAATAGCCTATTTCTTTTTTAAAATCTTAGTAATCTGACGACTGTTACTGTTTTTAGTAAAATTATCAAAATATTAATACAATACAGCCTTAATTGTTATGAAAATATGGATTTTACATGAAAAAGGATGTTTGTTATTCGTTAAAGGTATGTTTATCTTTTGTAATGACTTATTTAGGTATAGAAATGTATCCCCCCCAACGTGCGTTCACCTTGTCGTGGTGGGGGGCTCAGTAGTGCCCGGCAATTCAACCGGGCGCGAAGCTAAGAAACGCACAGGGAGGTTGCCCACTTCGGTGGGCGGTGGGAGGTGCCCTCTTCGGGGGGCGGTGTACCTTGCGGGTTGCTCCTGGTACTTCTCTGATAGCAGAGTGGACCTTGGAGCAACCCCATGGTTGTGGTGGTCTGCTTTGGCAGACCTGCCATCGGGGCGTCGTAGTTGAATGCGTAAGCGGTCCTGCGACGCCCCATTAAGACGGGGGAAGGTTTTGTTGGGTTTTAGTGGGTAGTACTGGCTGTATTACGCCGGTGAGTCCCACACGTCGGGCGTAAATGCATTTCCCAACGTTAAAAAAAAGGTATAGAAATGTATGGAAATGTTCTAACTTTAAATCTCAATAACTTTTGACTCCTTCGTTTCCTCAAAATATTTTTTATATATTTCAACTCAAAACTTATATAGGTACATAGGTGATACCTCCTCTATCCAAAAATATCACTCACTTCTCCTGGGGCCGCGTCCCATATACTAAACTTGTGCCAAATATTATTTTAAAAGAGCAACTGTTGAATGTCTTGCCCAGTCAAAACTGCCTTCCGAGCCGATGGTAGATTCTTTACAGATTTACAAATTGTCATTCAATATTAATTTAAATAATGTAAAAAAGCACATTCAGTGCTTGTAAACGTATAATGAATAAAAATAATTTTTAGATCATAATGTTCGTGTGATAAAAAAAAAATGTTTACTTAATAATTAACCCTATCATTATAGTAATGATGTTTTTTAATTCCACAAAAATCTTTTATTATACCTGTTTCAGCTGTGGTTAAATTGCGGTTTCATTAATTTATGTTAAAGGGATTTGTCATTTGTGTTTTGTATAAACATTAGCAATTACAATCACATACATTAATTGTAATCAAAATTTGAGCAAACAATAAACTAATTTAAATTGTATACTTAATAAGAAGTAGGTATATTTTCAGATATTGTATCTATACAAATATTGCAATATATGTAACTAGTGGTTCCTACAAAATTACGGTTTCACCTGTTAAATGTAAATAATAGTTTTTTTATTAATATACAAAATTAAAGTAATCATAAACAAAATTAAATTATAAATAAAATCCTAACATATATGCGTGGGCTAATTTCAAGGACTATTGAACGGATTTTGATACGGTTTTTGCTGTTATGATGCTCTAGCACTTAGAGGCGCTGAGTATTGACAGTAATAAAAGTAAAAAGTATACAATACCATATTTTATCGAACTTTTATATTATGATGTTAGCAGATATAGTTGTTTTTTAAGCTTTCAAAAAGGAGCAGTTTCTACGTTAGTTTATATGTTTGTTTTTTTTATGTATGTTCACCGATTTCTCAGAGACGGCTTGACCGATTTTGCTACTTTAAACTGTATTAAGATAGGTCCCAAGGTGGTCCTATAAAATTTTCATCGTTACAGACTTAAGACCTTGAAGTCGGTTTTTTTTATCAAAAGTATTTATATGTTTAAATATGTTTGGCGAAGTTATATTTGCAGGCCTATTTGAATTATAAGCTATTAATCCTTACAAAAATAAATTACTTCATCATCACAAGTAGAAGGGTGCTTATTAGAGATAAAATTTGCCATTTACAGTATGCTATACATAGTTTAGGGGTTAGTGAATATAATTCAAAGCTTGAGGGAAAGTTATCTAGGAGCAGGTCGCTAGTAGTTAATATAACAAATACAATTACATACATATATGTATGTGAAAGTGTATTTTCACATTACTTTATGGTTTATCCTTCTATTAAGTTAAAGAAAATGATTCCCGTAGGATGTTGCAAAGTTACTGAAAGACGCGTAAGTGGTAGATAGGGAATGAGCAAAACGAGATAAGGCCGCGAGTAAATAATAAATAGTTAGACCAAAACTTAATATCACAAATTTTTATCAAATACTGTGTAATAAATTCGTGTGTTTCTATATGGTCTCGACTCTCGAGTGAGCGAGAGGGCTAACTATGTATAACCTCGAGCTCGACCTATGTAACATAAGCTTATGTGTTACTCCAGGTCATAATCTATCTGTGTTCTAAATTTTATCGAATTCCATCCAGCACTTTCAGCGCGCGTAGTCCGATTTAAAGA